CGCCACCGGGCTGGCCCCTGTCTGTTCTTCTGATACACAATTTTTTTGGTATACCTACCCTAAAATTTGGGTTTCCTGTTTAGGTGAGATTCTGTTTGATTCATTTAACTTGATGTGCCCGAGAAGGTGGAATTCGTACTGTAATGTTTACCTAACAGGGGGTCTTCATTTCCTACCCATTTTCTGTATTTCACGTGGTGCGTCCATCTGGTCATATAACTAGAGCATTCAAATTGTTGATACTTTTTCCTCTGAGGACAATTTTACCTCAGTTCTTATTTCATATTTTAAACTTTACATTATCAGTATAGTTACTTGTCACCCTCCCATGAAAACAGTTGTATGTGCCTATTTCATCTTCTGTATTGAGTAAGTTAATGTTTTACTTAAATATTTACTTTTTAGTAATTCACTATAGTGTGAGAGGACAGCAGTGAGACTGGGTTTGGGTTACTTATATTCTCAATTGTTTCTACATTAGCTTCTGATTTTAGTAATTTTTAGACCCACCTATTGTTAAGGAATAGTGTGTGTTTTTAATTTTCAAAACCAAGGATCTGATATGGCTGATATTATTTTTTTAGCCTGGAAGAGAATGTAATGTGTTAAGAAATTTCCTTGTTTATCAACCACTGTTACCATTTTTTAAAGTCTGTGAATAATGGGCCGGCCCGGTGGCGCACTGCTACAGTGCGCCGCTTGGGAGCGTGGAGGCGCTCCNGAAAAAAAAAAAAAAAAAAAAAAAAAAAGCCTAAAATATAATCCAAGATTTCAAGTAACATTCTAGTATCACTAGGTAAAGCTGAAAAATAATTTTCTATGTAACTATGTAAATCTATAAGTATATTCGATCTGTGTGGAGGAAATTGTCTAGGTTTTTAAAACTTTCTTGTCCAGTACATTGTAAAATTTGTATTTAATAAGTGTTTTAAATTTGTTTGCATTTTGAGGCATTATGAGTTGGACACTATGATATTACAGTGTCATTGTTCTGGAGAGCTCTTAGACTAGCCTTAAAAGAAAATAAGTAAGAAGAAATAGTTTTAAAGTAACAATTTAAAATTAACTCTACATATTATGTTTCCTGCCAGATTTACTTGGTCATGTGTAAGTTGGAAAGAGGTAAAGGAAACGTGAGCTAGTAAAATGTATTTTGTTGGGTTTATAGGTGATGTGATTTGGGTTGAGAGAGTGTTGGTTTATGAAAGGCTGGCGTCAGCTACTGGAACATCGGTTTTAAATTGTGTAGTCTTTGTAATAAGTAAGTTTGTTTTGTTTGATTGGTTTTATTTTGTTTTGTGAAAGAAAACAAAAGGTGTTCTCTTTAAAGTCTGTGGGGTGAAGATGGAGACGTGTTTAGAAAGCAGATGTAGGCCCAACATCAGAAGCTGAGGGAGGACCAGGCTGCAGGCACGCCCCCCAGGCGGCTTCCGTTTTGTAAAAATGTTCATGTTGCTGTGAAACATAAAGAAGCAGGAGATGTAGATCTTTTTTTAAAATTTATTTTTAAAACTTTTATCAGTATGCAATGTAGTTGATTTTCATGTCCCTTAACCA